ATATAGCCTGACATTACTCTCCCCTTAAAAAAAATCTACCTCCCTTCAAAGTGAATGCATAAAAACTTTATAAGATCCTATAAGTGCTCATTATTCATATGAAATAGATATAATAAAGTCTCCCAGGATTAAATTCTCAAATATTGTCAAATAAATTAAAAATATAAATAACCCATGCGCATGGGAATTCAATAGGCAAAATAACTTATTTATAAAAATTGACTTAAAATTAGCAAATTCGTAGAAAAATATAAATTTCAATGATAAATCTGTTTTATCTTTCCATTCAATAATAGAATTGTATCCTTTCAATAACATATTCAAGTTTATAAATTTATAAATTGTGTGACCTATAACTGGTTGATTAGTCTAGTTGGGGGCCTGACTACCCTCCCTGATCTGGTGGTTGTAGTTGTTGAGGGTTCTGTAGGTGGGGATGATGGTGCCGGCTGTGGAGCTGATGAGGCAAATACTGCACTCGTTGGCATGTTGAAAACATTGTTCGCAAATTGTTGCCGATCTATCAACGGTAAGTTATGCTGAGGGAGACTGTTATCAACATAAACTTTTCCTGCTGGTTCCTGAGGGTTTTGTACCGGAACTGAGCTACCCATAACCATAGAGGCATCCTGCTTCTTGCCTGCAGGCTGAATCTGGTCGTGATGATCTACCTTGGATTTGCCGGAAACGAAGTTTACAATTCCCCAGCACGATTTTCCAATCTTCTTGGAGATCTGAAAAATTTCATCCCATATTGGATTCATCTTGGGATATTCACCATGGTTTCTTTTTAGAAGCACCCAGTCCCCGACCTGGTATTCGTTGACGTTAGTAGTCTTGTTAGCCTGTTTCTGATAGCTTAGTCGAGACTCCTGCTTGTTGAGAGGGATGTTTTGCCTAACCAACCGTGTGTCTTGAGCTTCTTTTTGATTGACACCCAACCTATTGTCGATTGGCAAGTTTGCTGACACTCCGTAAGCAGCCTCGAAAGGAGAGAATTTCGAAGATTTGTTTTGAGTGTTATTAAACATCAATATCGCTTCTGGCAGGAGCTCATCCCATTGAGTAATAGGTATGCCTCTAGATAGACACATAGATCGCAAAATTGTTTTGAGGGACCCAATAGTTCTTTCTGCACTGCCATTACCAGCTGGATGATATGCAGAAGATCGGAGCTTTTTGATTGCAAATTCTTCACATAGTTGTCTAACTTTGGTGCCATCGACATTACTTCCCTGATCTGATTGAAGTAATTTATGTAGCCCATAGTAGCTGAACCATCTGCACCATAATGCGTCCACGACTGTCTCAGCCCGTGCATTGGGTAAAGCTATTGCTGTCATCAGCTTGGTAAATATATCTGTCACCAAAAGAAAGCTTCCGTTACCTCTCCTGGACACCGGCATGGATGCTAGATCCATAGAAATCATCTCGAAGATCTTCTCAACTTCTCTATGATCCTGCACTGGCGCTTTAGGCTTAGGTCCATGTTTGCACTGTGTGCATGTTCTACAGTTAGAAACAAAGGACTCCACTTGTTTCCTCATACCCCTCCAATAGAACCTTTCAGATAGCATCAGGCAGGTATTATCGATTCCTGGGTGGCCTTGTCCGTGGTACTCTTGGATGATCTTTGGGGCAATCCCCTGAGGTACAATGACTCGGGAGCCTTTGCATAATAGGTTATTAGAGACTTTCAGGTTCAAGAATTTCCTGAATAAGCCTTTATCCACAATCTTGTCCTGACGGAGTGTTTCTATTGCTTCAGCAATATCTTTGTCTCTCATCTGAGCCTCTCGGAGCAGATTCTCCCCTAACACAAACACTGAAAGGTCTTCTGATGGGGCATCACTCCCCATTATTCTGCTCAAGTAATCTGCTTCCTGGTTGTCCGCTCCCTTCAGGTACTTGATGCAGTAATCAAGATTTTCCAACTCTAATATCCAACGGCCGATTTTCCCTCTGGGATCTTTCTGTCTATGAACGTTCCTCAGTGGCTCATGATCCGAATAGAACGTGATCTTTTCATAGCAAAAAGCTTTCCACTTTCTGCTAGCACTTATGATACCATAAAGTTCTCGCTCTGTAGCAGACCAGTTCTTTGTATTCTTCTGGTTAAGGGTCTCGGAGTGATAACCAATGGGTTTGAACGAACCATCCCCATCAAACTGCCCAAGCACACTCCCCACTGCAATCTTAGAAGCATCTGTTCTTATCACAAATGGCTTAGACCAATCTGGTATGAACAGCGAAAGAGCAGCATGAAAGGTGGTCTTTAACTTGTTAAATGCAACTTGTTCTTGACTTGTCCAAACAAACGGGACCTTTGACGATGTTAGGCGATTCAACGGGGAACATATCACAGAGTACCCATCAATAAATCTGCGATTGTAATTGGCTAAGCCCAAGAAGCTTTGTAGCTCTTTCCTTGTAGTGGGAGCCGGGAATTCTTTAATCTTAGCCATGTTTTTGGTTCCTGGTTTCAGGGTTTTCCCATCTTTCCTGAATCCTAAAAATTGGATCTCTTGGTACGCAAACTCACACTTGTCCTTTCTCAGTGACATGTTGTTGCTCTCCAGCACTTGCAGCAGGATCTCAAGGGTATTGATATGTTCTTCCATGGATGTGGAGCACACAATCAGGTTGTCAACATACGCATCTAGGCCGATTGCACCCTTTTCCTTGCACTCCTCTACAATCTTGTCCATACACTTCTGAAACGTTGCCTGTGCATTCTTCGATCCAAACGGCATTCTCTTAAACTGATACTTTCCCCGGGGTATACTGAATGCTGTTTTGTGACGATGACTCTCAGAGATTGGCACTGTCCAGTAGCCACTTGCCAAATCCAGCTGAGAAAAGAGGGTACACCCAAAGGCCTCATCTACCAGCTCCTCAACAGTAGGCAAAGGGTAAGTATCCTGCACCGTGTTACGATTAACCATTCTGAAATCGACAACAAATCGTTTTGAATTGTCATCCTTCGAGACCAGTAGGGGATTGCTGTTGAAAGGTGAGGAAGATGGTTCTATGATATCATGTTCTATCATTTCTGTGACCTGTGTGTCAATCTCCTTTGACCATTTTGCTGGAATTCTCCTTATTTTGCTCCTAATTGGGCGGTCATCGATACTCTTTATCTCGTGTGTGGTAGCAGAACTGCACCTGGGTGCTCTTGGATTTTTTGCAAACACCTCTGGGAAACTTTCCAAAATACTGCAGAGTTTCTCTCTTGCCTCAGATGGCAAGTTCGGGTTAATGTCATGTCCTCCCTTGTCAGCATTTAGAAAGAATATCCATTTCTCTCCCAAACGAACCTTTGAATTCTTCCAATCAAACTCAGTGCTGGAAAATTGATTTAGGAAATCTCTACCCAAGATAACCATTTCTTGGTTGGTACTAAGGTTGGTTTCGTGCAGGCACGTAGCCAGGGGGGGGGGGGGGGGGGGGGGGCTAGGGGGGCGGCAGCCCCCCCGGAAAAAATCGAACCCCAGAAAAAAGATAAGCCCCCTAGTCCCCATGGTCGCCTGGTAACTGGGCTGTGTTTATGACTGCAGTCAGTCAAAGATTTGAACTGTGGATTAGTAAATATATGTCATTAAATCCAAGCAAACATTCTAGAAGACTTCTATAATTATAGTCAATAGTGTCCCCTAGACCGTAGGAAATGTAAAGATCTTAAGACGATGAGGCCTGAGTAAGTCGTAAATTCTGATTGGAGAATGCAGATTGCTGTTGTGAAGTTACCAAATTTACGTGAGTACTTGATTCTTTTCAATCCCAGTTTATTGCTGTCCTACAAATTTCTTTAATGCCAAATGTCGTCTAAAACACCCTGTTTCGCAAAAAATTTCCGGGGGGCTGCGCCCCCCTAGCCCCCGCCAAGGGGCTCCGCCCCCAGACCCCTGCCACAGCTTGCTCGCTTCGCTCGCTGCGCAGCTTGATTGGACGCGTCGGCGAGCGAAGCGAGCCGACAGCCCCCCTCAAAGAAAAATCCTGGCTACGTCCCTGGTAGTCACAGGGAGGAAGCTAATAGTATTTTTTGATAGTTAGTACCTTTGCATTGTGCTGATTGATCCGCGAAGTATGTATTATTCATTGATATAAGCCTTATCTAAATTACGGTTTACGTTTGATTTTAATCTAGATTTATTTTAAAACATAATTATTTAAATTAAAACCTGGGCCTGTCTAAATGTACGTTACAAGAAAAGATCTCATCCGTCATTGTCAGTTCACCAAACACAATATTACCTGTTTACAATGATGTTTGACGTTGAATTTCTTCTGCAGTTTCTTATTAGTTGACGATGAGACTCGGAGAAGTTTACTAGTTTCCTCAAGTTTGTTAGAATAATCCTTTAAGATCTCATCCTTAGACCGGTTCTCAGCTTTGAGCTTTTCGTTTTCTGAGGCCAGCCCCTCCATGCACTCTTCAACCTCTGAGCACAATACTGATTTTCTGAAATACAGGTATTTTATTGCTATGGTCATTGGTTATTTGGTAAGAGGGAACATAGCTAAGTAGCATTATCCAACGTTACTATCCAGCAGGTAACTTGTAGGGGTTACACGTGACTGGTTAACTTTAGATTCTACACCTTCTAGCTGTTCATCATGATCGTTTAATGTTTACTGCTCTTAGTCGAACAATGGGTTAAATTCACTTCAAAGAAAAGCTCCTTAGTCGTGATGCTGTGAATCTTGATCTCTTTATGTACGAGCGTTTTCCTTTTTCAGACGGGAACTGCAAAGATTTCGGCTAATCCCTTTACATTATATGTTTCATTATCATAACAATGGGACAAATATCATGAGCCTATATCCGAGCATCTCCTATTCTTTGTATTATTTCTTAACCTCTAGAACCCTGTACCGTTTGCTTTTAGTTTTAGCCATACAGCATTTTGTTGACAAGGAGACTATTAATCTGTTGATTTGGAAATTCTGTGGTGATCTTGTTTCAAACCGATCAAAGAAAATAGTATTTAGAAAGCAAGACAATCTCTGCAGTAATTCCTTGGTTTGTTCCAACAGAATGCTGACGATATTTTTAGTGACCCTCCTCCTGAACGAAGGTCGAGTCAAAGGTAAGGGAACTTTGTTATCTGTCGACATAATTATATCATGATTGTAAATATGTTTCATTAATCTAAATTAAAATTTTGACAGCCTCTAGATGATTCCATCATGTACAAAAGACCTTTCTATCTTTTATCTGTATAAATAGTTGGTAAATATTCAATTGAGAAAATAGATTTCGATGTTCACTGTTCAGCTGAAGTTACGAGAACTGTAGAAAGTGAAGCCTCCTTGGCTGTAGACGATGCCTACACAACCGCTTCATGCCCTGTTGGATACAATCTAATAGGTGAAACTTCTTACTTTATACGTTTGTTGAATTTTAGTGCTTGATTCCATTTCTATTGCTTGTAATCTGTTCGATTAGATAATTTTGATAGGAACCTACATAACCTACATAACAGTACTAATATATTACCTACAGGTTGTAAACTTACACAAGGGATATACCGAACCGATGCTGATGGGATAAAGATAATAGACGGAGCATGCGTTGCTGTTCATTCAGGTGGTTCAAGTACAGGAGTCAAAGTAAGTTCAAATCCGTTCCTTCTCCAACAAGATAATAAATGTAAAATCTATGAATCTAAAGTTTATTTCGAATTGGAAGGTTCTAGGACGACACTCATCATCAGGTATCAGCAACATGCTCCAGTAACAACGTGGACTTTTCCTCTTTTGTTTATAAATCAGTCAGTAGAGGAGAAGCGTCTACTCTGACCTGCCCTGATGACAATTACAAAATGACATCCTGTGTCTACATAGTTGCTTGGGCGCTAGGCGCGATTAAGTAAGCTTGATTTTCAGTATATATTTTTGAGGTATTTTATTATAACATCTTTGACATTTTTTGTGGTATGTCTATTGCAGTACATATTCGTGTAGCAGTCTGACTTCTTATATCCGGCTTTTCAGACCGAACGAAGTGAATGATGATTCTTCGATAACCGTAACTGCAGAGAAACAGTGTGTTATATCTTACTGCACGTCCGGCAAATGTCAAACCTATGGAATTTGTGTTCGAAATGGTAAGTTAAATATGTATGTACAATTTTACATTGCACTTTACCGCCCACAATTGAACAAGAGACATGAATATGAGCGCAGGCGAGAATAAACACCGTAACTTTTTGATTTGCGACCACTGACTACAATCGGAGGATTACCCATTTCACTTTCTACCGCTATACTATTTTGCCCACACTTCGAAAATAAGAAGCATCTGTTGACCTGTAACTTAGATATCATAAATTCATATTTTTGATTGCTTTGAGATGGTATTTTTATAACTCAAGTGACCACGAAAAAATTGATTCAATAACATCATTTCGCATGAACCTTAAAACAATTCATCGTCATCAGTTCTCAATTTGTAAATTATAATTATGTACGGTTTGAAAACTGTTTAATTGTTTTGACTCGAACTGTTTGGTTGATTGGTATGTTTACAGTTTGACAGTGCAACTTAATGTGGTATAATTTGACAAGGAATGTGTTAGTGGTCTCAGAATACAGCGAGGTTTCTAGTTCCTACTCAAAAGAGTGTCAACAGATTAAACTGTTCTTGAATGGCACGTGGCCTTGTGAATCAATGCATAAAAATAAGGCTACCAGACAACTGAACCCAATTGTGACTTTTCCTAGACAGGATAGCTTGGGAAAACAACTATAAACCCGATCAGTCTACCTAATTAACTTTGAAACGACAACTGAACCCAATCGTCATCAGAAATAACAGACAAACAGGTTTTCTAAATGCCGCTCTAGTGAAAGCCCCGAAACGGTGTCAGGTTTGTGACTGAAGATTCTGATCAAGCTCAGGGTTGAGTCTACACAGTGTCGCCACTTGCCGATGCCAGTTGATGCGAGAAGACACTGATGTAAGTGGGAAGTTATGTCTAAGAAACAGCGTGTGGTTCGGGTGCCGGTTGAACGCATGTAAAAGGGAGGGTATATCCGTATTTCGCTGCTAGTGATGCAGTCCTTGGCCCGGTAGCTAAGGCTTCCCCGTTTCTCGCTCATTTGTGCTCCGATGGGCTTGTGACCTCTGCGGGGCCGGGGATCAAGTGCAGGATGAGGGACATGGCCGACCAGGAGAAGGTTGTTTTTGGGAGTGGAGTAGGGTTGGTTTGGTGTTGTGCCTTCGCAGTTTAACTGTATCTTTACCCTATAATAATTATTACTTAAAATGTCTCACACAAAGTCATCATAATATTTCTGCTGATTCGATACTGTGACCACCATCTCTTTCCTTATGTATTGGTCCAATAATCCGAGCTGTATAACAAGCGTACTAATAGATGACAAGGTCTCAGGTGCCTTTCGATCGCGAGATCTGAACTAACAAGCGTACGAGTTCACGAAGCGTGCCAAAAAGGATGCGATCTATTGCTCCTCAAGGCACGAGATCCGAACCATGATAGGCCCTCCTAAAGCATCAGAAGACACGAGATCTGAGCCAAGGCTGGCCCTTAAACTAGCCTGGAAATCTGATATACACAAATTTGGGTTCACTTGTAATATAATGACCTGGGTTCAGTTGTCGTTTTAGGATTTATGCTGATCGGGCACCCAATTTAGCTGATTGGGTGAGTCCTGTTAATTGCGTGGCAACTCGGTTCAATTGGGTTCAGTTGTCAGTCACTCAAAAATACGCAATTAGAATAAGAAATCATGGTTTTCCATTGTGACTCACTTCTCAAATTTAGTTGTCATATTTTCTAAGTCATCCCTCAACTCAGCACATGTCTGTTCTAATTTAACTATCTGAAAATGTGAATTATAGCATTAAATATATACATAATCTCTAATGCAGGTCTAGACCCAGTCGAAAATTCAACAAATAAATTTCATGACACTGATGACAACTTCAAAATTGTGATGACATATTTTTGAAAAACCAAAATCTGGTGGTCATACCTGCTGAATCATAAGGGCAATCTTTGATTTTTCAGCAGGGTTTAAATCTTTAATGAACAACAAATCCGATTTGGTGAGAACGGTTTGTGGAGGAGTCCTTGGTCGAGGTTTCTGAAGTACTGGTGTCTGGGGAGGTTGTCTGGAAGCTGGAGATTTTTCCACCCGAGGAGTTGGAATCACTTCCCATGCCACGTGTGATGACATTCCTGATCATAATCATGAGGTCATTTATTGTGAAACCTCTTATATCTGAATCCAAATTTCGAATCAAAAGTTTTAATAACTATGAACCTCGAATTTTGCAAGAGGTAAAATTTTGTTTTCTTCAAATAATCAACTAGAAATAGCACAATGAAAACTACACTGGTTAAAAATGAACAATAATAACTGTAAATCAACACATTCTATAATTCACAACATAGTATACATTACAGCATAGAGTCCAGCTCTAAATACGGTGAAAATTGTTGTTTCCTAATTAATCATGCTATTATTTTGTAGAATTGTTCACATGTTCAAATTGCTGACATTTTACTTTCAAATTGGTATTGATTCAATAAATCATGTCAAAGCTTATTGAAAGTTTGATAAATCAACAGAACTGACAAAAATTGTTCTTGTGATGCAGTATCAGTTGAATTCTGTTGTAAACTTTAAAAGAAAAATGGAAAACCCACATTAGAAGTTTCGTGCAGCCATACCCTGTAGTTCTGGCTTTTGTCAGAGGAGAATCTTATGTTGTATTGTGTCTTCGGACCAATCAACTGTCTACCCCCAATCCCCTGCACGGAAGTACTGCTCCCATTTTCAATCAGCACTTTATTAGTCGAAATGATAGAGATTTCTGCCCCACTGTCTACAAGAAACTGTCTAGGATGCCAGCTCTCACCTAACTCAATCTGCCCTTCAACTTTGCTGTCATATAGTCATCTTCTGTCATGGTTGTTCCGCTTTGGAGGGAACTTCTTATTCCTAGAGGTTCTCCTGGAGGGGCAACTCTCCTCATCGTGTCCTTTTCCACCACAACAGCTACAGACTCTTTGATAACATGTTGCTTTAAGGTGACCTGTCTTCTTACAGATATCACATACTGGTCTGTCTTTTTTTTCAAACTTACGATCTGACTGGACAGCATACATTTCAGTATCCTCCTCATCTGTCACTTCTAACCTTGAACGAAGCTGATCCACCTCCTTCAGTAACTCTCGAGCCCATTGAGGTACCTGCTCTTCTTGCTCTACCGGAAATGCAAATGTTTCACTAGTCGAAGCCTCTGAACTTGCTGAATTCTTTTGAAGCTTTTCCATACAGATATCTGGATATTATCCGGTTGGAAGAGACAAGGACAAGTGAAACAAGGAAGTTATGAGTAAGGGCAAATTTTCGGCGTCAACGCCATCTTCAGGCTAAAATTGTTATAAATGTTAGTATATAATAAATGCTTCTATACTAGTTAAAATGCTAAATTGAAATTACACACACTGAATACAGGTTACATCAAATGGTATTATACATTACATTGAAAATAGTGATGTACACGTACATCACATGTAATGTATAATACCATTTGATGTAACCTGTATTCAGTGTGTGTAATTTCAATTTAGCATTTTAACTAGTATAGAAGCATTTATTATATACTAACATTTATAACAATTTTAGCCTGAAGATGGCGTTGACGCCGAAAATTTGCCCTTACTCCTAACTTCCTTGTTTCACTTGTCCTTGTCTCTTCCAACCGGATAATATCCAGATATCAGTATTTCAATCATGAGACTAATAAACAGCGAACTACTCCGTTATTTGACTTTTCCATACAGTCTTTGAAAAAGCTGGCTACACCGGCAGCATCTAGTTCGCTTTTAATTTTATCTTTCTTACACTCAAACAGCTTCTTCCCACCGGGTATGTTTGATAGAAACCGCATGATGAAGACATCAGATGGGATCTTAGCACGCCTGGCTAACTCGTCCAGTTGGAAGAAATAAGACCGTATCCCATCCATCGAAGTATTAACCGGCAGCAAGTTGAAAAATGTCATGCTTTCGGTGAACTGACATGGTGGGCCATCAATGAGATCTTCAAGGAACTTAAACGCTGTTTTCACATCTGCCTCTTCTGATGCGGTGAAAGCGAGTTGCTTCTCCCCCTCAGTCCGGTGAATATAAACTGGTAAACATGCAAGCTGCTGTTCAGGTTTAAGGGTTGCTGTAGCCGCTAAGAAAACTTTCTTAAACTGTGCAATTTTCTGGCCTTTAGCCAGATGAGGAATTTCAATTGCTGTAATCATTCTTTGAGGATATAATGTCGGCCTGTGTTCCGAGGCAATGATACTCCACTGGGTATAGTAAAAGAGTGTTCAAAGGATTAGCACAAGTACATGTAGTTAACAATATATCCTGACAGATAACAAAGTTAAGGTAACAGTATATAAGCCAAAGGTCCTATAATATAAACTAAAGGTGTAATATATAATAGGACTGGAAATATATAGCCTGACAGTGTAATTGATTATGTCAGTCATGCAAATCAACAGAAACTAAGCTTATTGTTATGACCCAATTTTATCGCCGATAATTATCGTTATCGCCGATAATCTCAAAATTGTAATTGGTTATCGGCGATCAAAATTATTGGACCGATAGTGCAAACCCTATTCAGAAGGTATATTTTAAGTTAAAACATTATAAATCAATGTCAAACTTCAAAGATGACAGGAATACGAAATTGTAGATTTGTTTGGAGAGTCGAATCATACACAGTTTAGGCTCTTGAATTCTTCGAATAAAATTTCATCTTTAGAGAACCTCCTGGATAGAACTAAGTTAGACTCAGGACTAAAGCGTATGACCTAAAGCGTAAGGGAGTTAGGGCGTGAAAAATTTCCGCTTTGACGAAGGCTAACTCTCCCTCTGATTACCGGTTACCCTGGCACAGGGAGCTGTATCCTATCTAACAGAGCGTGGTCCAGTCTTGCTGGGTCGTAATAGATTAGGTGTGGAGGGTAACAGCCTACACCTCTTTAACTACTCACAGGAGGACTATAGTGCAAAGAAACTGCTGCTAGTCCTCCTGTGTACTGTGCAATCCACAGTAAAGATTTATGAGTTTCCGAGCCCCTTGTGAGCCAAGAGTTTAGGAGCTAATGACGTTTTGTCATGCAAAATGATACCGAGAATGAAATCGGTCGCTCGCTTTTCCCATTCAACAAGCTTAATTACAATTCTTAAGCCGTGAATGAATGGGAAAAGCGAGCGACCGAGTTCATTATCGGTATCATTTTGCATTTGCAGACGGTCAATCAATTTAATATCATTTTCTTTTGTTTGGGAAAGAGAGACACTGGCAGCGGTCCACTCTACCCATGATTATGGGTTTTGGTCAAATAACGTATGCGAATAAACATAAACTGAAATACTGACGTCAACAAGCAAAGTTTAGTTATTGTAAAATAGATATTATTATACGTTTATGAGGTCCCATCACAGATGCTCGAAAAGAATTCCTGTGAATGAAATGCAACTATTGTATGTATGTACGTGAACACCCGCTCACACTTTGACACCTATCCAATATTCAAATAAAAGCGAACCATCCCTAAATTCTAAAAGGGTACTTCGAATCTTAAGCTGCTTGCCAGCGGCGAAACTTGCAACTAATACTTGACTAAACTCGACTATACTTGCAGACGATTGTGTTGAGGGCCAGTTTCTGGATCAGACAACCGGCTGTACAGACTGTCCGGCAGATGAATGGAGTGCAGCAGCAAACTCAGATCCTACCTGCACTGCCTGTCCAACTGGAAAAGGGGTAGCCTCTGGAGCAGGAACACAAGAAAGTGACTGCACTTGGAGTAAGTTGTTGTTTCCTAAAAATTTGAGGGACCGAATGGTTCATCCTTAAATTTATTTTTATCTTAGAAATGCAATAATGTAAGCGAATAAACATAAACTGAAATACTGACGTCAACAAGCAAAGTTTAGTTATTGTAAAATAGATATTATGATACGTTTATGAGGTCCCATCACAGATGCTCGAAAAGAATTCCTGTGAATGAAATGCAACTATTGTATGTATGTACGTGAACACCCGCTCACACTTTGACACCTATCCAATATTCAAATAAAAGCGAACCATCCCTAAATTCTAAAAGGGTACTTCGAATCTTAAGCTGCTTGCCAGCGGCGAAACTTGCAACTAATACTTGACTAAACTCGACTATACTTGCAGACGATTGTGTTGAGGGCCAGTTTCTGGATCAGACAACCGGCTGTACAGACTGTCCGGCAGATGAATGGAGTGCAGCAGCAAACTCAGATCCTACCTGCACTGCCTGTCCAACTGGAAAAGGGGTAGCCTCTGGAGCAGGAACACAAGAAAGTGACTGCACTTGGAGTAAGTTGTTGTTTCCTAAAAATTTGAGGGACCGAATGGTTCATCCTTAAATTTATTTTTATCTTAGAAATGCAATAATGTAAGCGAATAAACATAAACTAAAATACTGATGTCAACAAGCAAAGTTTAGTAATTGTAAAATTGATATTATGATACGTTTATGAGGTCCCATCACAGATGCTCGAAAAGAATTCCTGTGAATGAAATGCAACTATTGTATGTATGTACGTGAACACCCGCTCACACTTTGACACCTATCCAATATTCAAATAAAAGCGAACCATCCCTAAATTCTAAAAGGGTACTTCGAATCTTAAGCTGCTTGCCAGCGGCGAAACTTGCAACTAATACTTGACTAAACTCGACTATACTTGCAGACGATTGTGTTGAGGGCCAGTTTCTGGATCAGACAACCGGCTGTACAGACTGTCCGGCAGATGAATGGAGTGCAGCAGCAAACTCAGATCCTACCTGCACTGCCTGTCCAACTGGAAAAGGGGTAGCCTCTGGAGCAGGAACACAAGAAAGTGACTGCACTTGGAGTAAGTTGTTGTTTCCTAAAAATTTGAGGGACCAAATGGTTCATCCTTAAATTTATTTTTATCTTAGAAATGCAATAATGTAAGCGAATAAACATAAACTAAAATACTGATGTCAACAAGCAAAGTTTAGTAATTGTAAAATTGATATTATTATACGTTTATGATGTCCCATCACAGATGCTCGAAAGGAATTCCTGTGAATGAAATGCAACTATTGTATGTATGTACGTGAACACCCGCTCACACTTTGACACCTATCCAATATTCAAATAAAAGCGAACCATCCCTAAATTCTAAAAGGGTACTTCGAATCTTAAGCTGCTTGCCAGCGGCGAAACTTGCAACTAATACTTGACTAAACTCGACTATACTTGCAGACGATTGTGTTGAGGGCCAGTTTCTGGATCAGACAACCGGCTGTACAGACTGTCCGGCAGATGAATGGAGTGCAGCAGCAAACTCAGATCCTACCTGCACTGCCTGTCCAACTGGAAAAGGGGTAGCCTCTGGAGCAGGAACACAAGAAAGTGACTGCACTTGGAGTAAGTTGTTGTTTCCTAAAAATTTGAGGGACCGAATGGTTCATCCTTAAATTTATTTTTATCTTAGAAATGCAATAATGTAAGCGAATAAACATAAACTAAAATACTGATGTCAACAAGCAAAGTTTAGTAATTGTAAAATTGATATTATTATACGTTTATGATGTCCCATCACAGATGCTCGAAAGGAATTCCTGTGAATGAAATGCAACTATTGTATGTATGTACGTGAACACCCGCTCACACTTTGACACCTATCCAATATTCAAATAAAAGCGAACCATCCCTAAATTCTAAAAGGGTACTTCGAATCTTAAGCTGCTTGCCAGCGGCGAAACTTGCAACTAATACTTGACTAAACTCGACTATACTTGCAGACGATTGTGTTGAGGGCCAGTTTCTGGATCAGACAACCGGCTGTACAGACTGTCCGGCAGATGAATGGAGTGCAGCAGCAAACTCAGATCCTACCTGCACTGCCTGTCCAACTGGAAAAGGGGTAGCCTCTGGAGCAGGAACACAAGAAAGTGACTGCACTTGGAGTAAGTTGTTGTTTCCTAAAAATTTGAGGGACCGAATGGTTCATCCTTAAATTTATTTTTATCTTAGAAATGCAGTAATGTAAGCAAATAAACATGGACTGAAATACTGACATCAACAAGAAAAACGTTCTTAAACGTTAAATAGCTAACGTTGGTTAATTTATTAAAGGTTCTCTTTTTTAACGTTGCGAAAAGTGTATGCCTTTACGTTAAATTGAGGTTATTTTGTTAACTACATATAAGCAACGTAAAAATTCAACTATATTTTAGCGTTATATGTAAATTACATATAAAACATTCTTAAACGTTAAATAGCTAACGTTGGTTAACGGTTTTCTTTTTAACGTTGCGAAACGTTTATGCTTTAACGTTGATCAAGGTTGCTTTATTCAACGTTGAAAATTAAACTGCGTTTTAACGTTGGATTTAGATTGTAAATAAAACGTTCTGGAACGTTTAATGGTCAACGTTGGTTAAAAATAACATTTTCAATGTTGGTGATGCAAGGTTTACCTAACTTTAAAACAACGTTCAAAACCAACGTTGGAAAGTGTATTTTCCACCCTTATTCCATTTCCAACGTTTATCCATCTAACTTTGCCGGCTGGGTTATTAATCATTATCATATTTTGGATTCATTTGCAAGGAATATGTAATTTCTCTTGTTGTTTTTTACTGGGCGGCGCTCAGCCTGTCATTCCGCCGAATCTTTAAGTTTATGAACATAATAGCCTGGGGTCCCCAGGTAAGTTGTTTTATATTGTAAATTCATTTCCTAATTGTACATCCTGATATAACAATAACATTTAGTAGTTGGTATATTGTGAGTTGTAGTAAAAAAGTAATTTGGAAGCATGAAACATGCATAAAGTGACGTCATAATAATGTATTCCATGTTCCACACAGGAAATTGGGCGATAAGGTTTGGCCTCTATATGGCCTCTATACGGCCACTTTACGGCCTTTATACGGCCACTATACGGCCACTTAAAAGAAATATTACATGGCTTTTATATGGCCTCTAAACGGCCACACAAAACATCTAATCTATGGCCTCCATACGGCCTCTATACGGCCTCTATACGGCCTCTATACGGCCTCTATACGGCCTCTATACGGCCTCTATACGGCCTCTATACGGCCTCTATACGGCCTCTATACGGCCTCTATACGGCCTCTATACGGCCTCTATACGGCCTCTATACGGCCGTATAGACTATAGAGGCCTCCTTATTGTTAAGGAATAATTTTATTCAAAATTTGAGGAGACTTTGAAGTTCAATAATTGTTCAAGCATTCTGAAAATCTACCGTAAAGTTTTCCTAGCTTGCTCCTTCATAAGATTAAGTATATTTGCTATTGAAGTTATATTGCTTTTTTGAAGAAAATTTTATAATAACATAAACCCGCCACGCAAAGGGTTTATATAACAGATCATCCCGCGCTAGCGGGATGATCTGATAAACACATACGAGTGCGCGCAGCGCACGAGTTTTGTGTTAATATGTAATCCCGAAGCGCCAGCTGAGGGATTACATTTATTTAGCCCTGAGCGTGAAGTGTTTATGGATTATAATTATCTCCGGCGATTTCGACAAGGGATTTATACTTTAGAATTAGCTGCTTTGGCAACGTTCCCAGGAATTTGCGTGTAAAAGAAGTGGACGGTTACGATGTTTCATATCACGTGGTGCGCTTTCGTGTCACGTGGTATAGACTCGGCGTATGCTATTGGTGGCACGTGGTACGCACGTGACGCGCCCACGTGATCGCGCGTCTAACTGTTCTACTATTATCGAGTTCTTAAATCAGCAGTATCATTGATTATTGTAAGTCGGAGAATTGAATGATAAACATCAGTTACGACTAAAAAGCGGGCCGGGTTTATACAAATTTCCGGGGCGGGATGATATCACCTTGAGATGTTTATCTAACAGCGGGCCGGGCTGAGTGATAATATGATCCCGCGTCGAAATCCCGGAGATATTTATAAAAGGCCAATTTTGCGATTGAGTATTCTCTGGTGTTGCCTTGGGTTGTGGAGCTCAGTTCTGCCTCCTGTAGGTCTAATTTGTGCATTAGGCTAGTTTTGAAGTTGAAAATCGAAAAGTTGCGACACGTCCAAATTGATATAAAATTGCTAAAATCACTGAAAATTGCTGTTTTCACCATTTTCTGTCAACTTTGGAGTGCCGTTGTGATTACAGTTCTTCTTGAAATACTTTGAAACTTTGCATGCTTATTAAACTATACATAAATTACGAATATGCAACAATTTAAGGTTATTCAAGATTGGATGCGCACGCAACGTTCGCTTAAAGTTTGCACGCGTGAAAGGTGATAATTTTGCTCATTCGTGATTTCGAACAAATTCTGCTTTGCCACGACAGTTCAATGTCATTATATATGAATTTAATGGTAATCGCACTATATAGTGACAACACTATATAGTGACAAGCACTTTGTAATGACAGCTGATATTTTTCACCATATAGTGTGCAAAACACACTATATAGTGACAGCACCATATAGTGGTGATGACATTACGTGACAGCTGTAGACACAGCTAGATAATAACTTAATAAATACAAGTCTGTATCTTTGGGAATTTCATGCCTCAAACGATATCCGAACTGGATGTACTGCAAATCTAACACATCAAGAATTAAATTTAGATAGTGTTTGGAAGGACATGTGACACATTTTAGCATCGCATTACCATTTACCACCCTTTAAGGTAACAGCTGTTAAATTTAATTGACATGAATTGATAAATTTCAATAGACGAATAAAACTACCGTTCAATTGACAAATTTTGTTGTTGACATAATCAGAAAATTGTAATCATCGAGAGTAACATTGGGTACATAAATCATTGCATTACTTTACACATGAACAATTGCACGTTAATGGCGTTCCAGTACTTGAGTAGTACTAATAATTAGTTCCACCAACTACATATTCTGATAAAGTTCGAGAATCTTCTTGACAATATTTATGTTTTCGTTCATTAGTTTTTATTTACATCAGATAGACTAGTATAGTGGTCATAACTACATCCATTATAAGAGCTCGTTCTTCCGTACTTAAAATATCTGTTAAATATGATCAAAACACAAAGCTTTGAAATATACTTTTTTCTGTTTGAGATTTGAATAACGTTACTAATACTGTAATGTTCCAAATTATATTTCTATGTTTTAAAAATATTCATTGTTATTAGGGGGAACATCGTGCCAGCTAGCTTTATTCAACATTACCATGAACAAATATTCTGATTGTCATTGTTCCTAGCGTGTTTCTTGGTTATTCTTAATTATTAAATTTACTGTTTGCAACATAATATTATGACATTGCTACATCTGACACTGGAAACACGGATCATACTCGCCAAAGACAATTTTTCAGTCGAGTAGATATACCAAATAAGTTATGATGTTCATCGATGGGTGGAGGGGGGCTTGTCGGTAGTTTGGTGCAAAACTGGCGGGTAGCCAGGACTTTCTATTTTTATTAATGGACATGTTCATTGGAAGTTAAGGTTATTGGTACGCATACAGAAATATTAACCAAGCATGTTCAGAAGTTCTCAACAAAGAAACTTTATTGTTGTTATGCACTATAATGTTACAACTTTACATTTTTGTGAATCTGTTAACTATAATAGCTGCCTATAGTTTAAGTTAACAGTATAGTATTCCTTATCTAAAATGCAGTAGATTATTAATTAGATCAATCTAACAATCATAAAACATCATTGGTTAAAGAGCAACCTATAAGGCAAGATTTGGTAAACTTTGTCGGACACTCTATTTTCTACTGTGTCCAAAAAACTTTATTATATCAGGTTCCACCTATGAATAGAAGAATCGTCCATAAGGAAGAAGAATAATTTTGCAGTACCAGTATTTTGTCGGTTGCATTCGATATTATCTTACCCATTCAATTAAATTTTTGAACACTGAAGGACAAATTAACAGTTTAACGTACAGGAGTTAAGCGAACTAAGATAATCGAATAGTTGTAATTACTTGTTTATAGTTTCTAAATATGAATGTAAGATTTGTGTCTGTTCGTGGCCTTGCAATAATAAGTCAAAGCCCTAAAAAATAGATCATGCCGATATCTTTCTAGAATGAAGGTATCTTTTACTAAATTAAATTTCCCCTTCAGAAGAAGATGAACAGGGAGACAACCAAAACTACTCTGATGCAGCAGCCCTGAAAGTCAGCTTAAATTTCCTCGTCGTTCTCCTGTTTGCTGTTAATAAGAACATCTAAACTTGTTGTGGGCTTGAATGGTTCTACGGTACAAAACACTATCTTAACATGGTGTTTTATCGGGATGTGATAGAAAAAGAAAAAAAAATTCGACTTTTGATATTTGAAATTTTAATATTTTAGACAACTTTAAATGTTTTAATAAAAATTAATAAAAGAAAGAGACTGCGATTCAGTGATTATTGATATTCATTATATTGATTGATTTTGGACACGAAGGGAAACACACAAATTTGGCTTGGAAACTTCGTTTAATACATCGCTAGAGCCTACAAAAAAGAAATAAATTAGTCAGATAAAATCAATCATAAAACTCAGTCAAAGAGATTCAAAAATTTATAAAAAGGTCATTATTAGAGAATATCATGAAAGTCGATCAGAAATTGGAATACGATAAAATTGTTTCACTGTCAGCGTGGTAGATAAAATTTATAAAGAAAAATGACGCAAAATTGGCACAAAATTGGTAAAATTAATAAATTACAGATATTGGTAAAAACCACAAAAAACTATCTCTTAATTTCCATCCTGTTTAAACCCCAAACATTAGTCCTAAACTTTGCACAAAATCTAGCCTCTTCCCTATCTAATAGGGAAGGTTTAGTCTTTTTCACAATCCCGAATTTGAAACAGTCAAAACTGAAAGTGTCCTTGTGTACATCGTAACAATGTATTGATATAAGGCTGAGTGCTCGTAGAGGGCACGGTCGTCAATGTTGAACTTGTTCCGGTGCCCATTGAGCCTAATGTGGAATGGAGTCAACGCCTGCCCAAAGTAAGTGTCCTCAGATCCCTCAATAGCCCTACACTGCTGGCATTGTGCAACGTAAATAATGTGCTTATCTTTGCACGTGAGGGATTCGTCTAGATTAAGCTCCATGCCATGCCGTTGACCATGATCTTAGAGTCAAGATCGAACAATACCGGGCAAGTCTTGCATCCAGGGGCTGAGCACTTCTGTGATGTTTTTTGGGGACATTCAGCCTTATTTCCAAGTGACTGTGTTAACTGTAGCTGCCCAATTAACATTTAACACTCCTCGGTCTGAAATATAGTAGATTAGGTCAATCTAACAATTATAATATACCATTAGTTAAAGGGCACGGAACGAGCGGTTATTATACGGTAATATTTGGATAACTTTGTCACACTCATAATACGATACCTCTTTTTTTACTGTGAGGTATCCTCAAAACCCTTTTAACTTATTGATGGTTTTTCTATCGATCGTATCCTAAGATAATTTGTTTTGAATGGTCGCTTAATACACGCAATTGGTTATGGAGAAATGAGGTTAATTCTGTCACAATTTTCAATTTTGGGTGCATTACCGAAATCATTTATATCTGATTTTGATTTGAAAAGCGAAAAAAATCCATATAAGGAGTATGGACGATACAGTTGATTCAAAAGAGGGCAGTTGATGTTAACATTGTCACAAAAATGATATGACGAAATTAACATTGCTGATTGCTTGCACTATTTTGAAGTTCCCAATTTCCCGATCCGTGATGGCCAGATAGCGTATTTTATTATATTCTATTTGACCATAACCCATAATCATGGGTAGACTGTAGAGTGGACCGCTGCCAGTGTCTCTCTTTCCAAAACAAAATTAAAATTAAATGATATTAATTTGTATATCTGTCCGCAAATGCAAAATGATACCGAGAATGAAATCGGTCTCTCGCTTTTCCCATTCATTTACAATTGTAATAGATTAAGAAAAGGTACCCGAAGGTAGCTGTACTCGGCAATAAACATCAGCTAATTAGACACTAGCTACCACCCTTAGGGCCTGCCCACACTACGCCATGTGGCGACGGGCCACATGGCCCGATTAACCTAAACACACTGTGCCACTTGGCGTGGATTTAGAGCTCCCGCCAGTTGGCGTGGAAACTCTCGGGGAATAAAAGCACGGATTTTAAAAATCCGTGCCTCTATTCCCCTTGCTAAATCTACGCCAAGTGGCACAGCTGTGTTTAGATAGACGGGCCACATGGCGGGAGCTCTAAACACACTGTGCCTTTTGTGGGCAGACCCTTATCCCGAAATACTAGGTATCGACCCGAAAGCAACCCAAAGAGATTTTGACAGCATGTGATTGATGTAATTAATCAAAACTTATTACAATTCGTAAGCCGTGAATGAATGGGAAAAGCGAGCGACCGATTTCATTCTAGCTATCACTATACACAAAATCGAACGGCACCTTGTCTTTACGCTTAGCTTGTACTAGCTATTGTAAAAGTTTATGGGGTGGAATCCTAAAACACAGGCTGAATAAAATTTGTGCAATTGCAAAGCGATGTATAAGACTGCTATTTGGAACCATCCCCAATTTTGATCATAAAGAATATTATTTAACATGTGCACGTTCGAGAACTTAAAATTAACATATTATGGCTAGCAAGAACTTCAACTAACTACTGTCTTGGACACACTGAACTGCTGTTCACTGCTGAGCAGAAAATTCGGATCCGGAGAATCTGCACATGTATCATACATTTATGGAACTATTCAAAATCCTTAAATTTGATGTCCCTCAGTCAATTAAAGATCTTTTCAAGTTCTGCCCTAAAATTGAAAAATGTCTGATCCCATTACTGAGATTAGATATCTCCCAAACAGAACTAAGATGGCACCCAATCAGTAATTCAGGAGCAGGTAACCATGCGCATTTTGAATTTATGTCTCAACACTCGCCACTGACTCAGGAATTAATAGAAATGTCGATACGTTATTCAGCCATTTATTTCCATTAGAATCTGTCTTCACTGAGTCTATCAGAAACAACCAGAAATTTGAATGAAAGAACTATTCTTGAGGAATTAAGGGACAGCAGTCTTACTATAATAGACAAACACTCATTGTTGTACATTCCTACAATACCAACACTTGAAGGAGGATAGTTGTTCATAGTTCAATTCAGTTAGCTCATCTTGATAATGTTTTTGATGTTGTAAGTTTTTTATAGGACAAGTGAAGCATCATTAGGTTTAACTTAAACTCCTTATAAACTGATCTTTTGCAATTTCACAGGGATTTAATGACAGCTGACATATGTTGCCGGGTCACATTACCTGCAGTAGAGTATCATCTTTATTAATTAACCAAACCTTTAAAATTGTGCGTAGATTCATTTATATAAAAGAGAGGAAAATTGCCGTATGTTTGCATTTTGCAACACACACTGTTGTTATATTGACTGGTTGCTCGATTGTTCACAATAAAACTCATTAGACATGTTTGGAACTGGTACAACAAATTTGCTTGCTCTCTTCGCAGTAGGAATTTTTGCCGCAGATGGGGCACCAAAGCTAATTATGTACGATAAGTCGAACCAAGTCGGAACAGCCATGACCCTCACTGGTCCAACACCAAGTTTTGATAAACTACCTTCAGACTACGTATCTAGTGATATAAATTTCAGTAAGAGAACCGAAAGCATTTGGGCAGTCACTGGAAATTGGGAACTTTATACCGAAAAGGATTACAGAATGGATAGGTTCTATGTGGAGGAAGGTCAGAAGTTAAACGCAAGAGAGGCCAACGCTTACTCCTCGGGCAGACCAGCAAGCTGCCGTTACATCTCCGATCCTACGACAGCCAAATTACGTGTCTGGACAAGTTCCCATCTTCAGGGTGAGACGACAGAGTTCCTGACCCCGCAGAAAGATTTGGGAGATTTGAAAGATAAGATAACTTCTGTGGTTGCCGACAAAGGAGACTGGGAGATGTATGATATGGCAAATTATCAGGGCGACAGATTAGTGATAAAAGAAGGAGAAACAATTGAGCACCTTGGTAAATTCGATGCAACAGCTAAATCTCTGAGACCAATTTGTGAGACATACAAAGGAAAAGCAAAGTGCACACTGAAAAAAATCGAAGTATTGGACAAGAAAGGAGAATTAGAGCCCAGGTACACAGGAACCGAAATCATCGGCTCTCAATCCAGTGGATCCTGTTACGGACCAGCCGAACACGAGATCGAACTCACGCAACTAAATGCTGTGGAAGAAAAAGTAAGCCTCACAATTTCTAAAGAAAACGAAAAGAACTGGGACGTAACAGTATCTGCGTCAGTGACCGTTGATGTAGGATTCCTAGGAACTGGGGCGTCTTTCTCAGCGGGTGTGGAAATGGGAGGTGGTGGGGCGATAACTATGGGCACCTCCAAAACCACAGAAACAACAAATATTAAAGCGAACGAACATACACAGGTGGTGCAATTTGCAGTGCCGGGCGCAGGGATCCTCTTCGGAATTGTGGACAGGTTTGAGGTAGACAAGGCCGATGTACCGGTCAAGATACACATGACATGTCCGGACGGAAAAAGCAAAAAACTGCACTCCTCCATTGCAATGAAACAAGTTTCCTTCGGAGCAGCTCACTTCTGGTCACTAACAGGAGAGTTCACTAAAGAAGCGTGCAAAGCAGACAGGGACCTCCCAGATTGCGTTGAAAATGTGAGAAAGAACTTTGCAAGTTTTCTTGGACAAAAAGCGGAGATTGAAGCTGCATTTGAAGCCTGTTTCACTTATGGTAAAGGGTCATTTACACGTTTGCAACAAGTTGATCGGGACTAATTAGTTCACTTGGGTTGACCAGGGGTTTTTCATACGTGGAGCTTTTGTTTGTCATTTGATCAAAACTATTTTAAATGTATATACTTTTTGAACATGAACTTTAGATTTTCAGTTTTGATGAAATTATTTTAGGTAGTAAAAGCTGTATTGCCTAATGTCTATTGAAGTATTACCTTATCGGACATTTAATTGTCGCGGGCAAGGTTTTCACGGACCAAATTTTTCACGAACATAATTATTCTTGAGGACTATATTCTTAATACTTTCAAGTGTTTCAACACTACTATATAAAAAATAATTTGAGAATATGAGTATGACGTAGAAATGTCTATACGTTATTCAGCCATTTATTTCCATTAGAATCTGTCTTCACTGAGTCTATCAGAAACAATCAGAAATTTGAATGAATGAACTATTCTTGAGGAATTAAGGGACAGCAGTCTTACTATAATAGACAAACACTCGTTGAACATTCCTACAATACCAACACTTGAAGGACAATAGTTGTTTATAGTTCAATCCAGTTAGCTTTTTGATGTTGGAAGTTTTTTATAGGACGAGTGAAGCCTTATTCATTAACCGCTGTTTT